AATATGGAGAAGCATCTATACATTTGATCCTTCCATTGAATAATCTCTCAGCACTATATCTGAATGCACAGTAGTGTAGTTCATTAAGAATGAGAGCATATCTATAAAATGTAGAGCCTCTCTGTGAAGCACATTAGTTTACATCAGGAGCCATATTTTGTAGCTGGCTGATCTTGGAAGAAATAGTTCCCCCAAACATCAAAATTCTGCCATATTTACTTACCCTCATGTCGTTCCAAATTTGCAGGACTGACTTTCTGCTTTTCAAAAAGCTTTTGCTCTGCTTTTTTCCATCTAATAAAAGTAAAAGGCAAAATGACAAAAAAAAGCATAAATCTTTAAATATGATCCGTACAATTATTATTTTCTATGCATTCTGAAGTGAAGACTTTTTTTTGGAGCTTAACAGAACAGCAAGAAAAAACGAATATAATATGGGTTTAGAACAACATGAGAGAGTAAATATAAAATCACAGAATTTTCATTTTTGGGTGAACTGTCCCTTTAAAATCTTCAATTCCAAACGATTGGCTCTAGCATACAGCTCTGAAACCATATTAAAGGATATTTTAAATGAATGCCTGAAATTTTATTCAAGAAAAGCATCAGTTTTGTCAATGTAAGTTACAATAGCTTTTACTTCTTTTTTTGGAATTTGATCAAATCAATCAGTTTTCATAGTTTTCTACCCCAGTGTAATCTTAAATTTATTTCAATCTGCAATTTAAGTATTTTTCACATTCCATATTCTCCAGAAAACGGCTTTATAGATATTATTTCTAAATATGTTTGTATGGTACGAGTGTGTGTGCTTCAGTCTCAGAAAGATGAGAGAATGTTTACATAATGGAAGGAGAGGTCAATTGGGTGTGGTATTAAACTGTTACTCTTAATTACTGGTCAGTCCACAGATAGTGGATTACAGTATTAATCTGGTGCTACTCTTGTGTCAAAGGCTTATTAAAGCACATGCACACTTTTATGCTCTGTCTTGCGAATGCTTTATATTTCTTTCAGTGTTGTATTGCGCTGAAAGACAAATGTCACAGCAATAGAACCCCAAGTTTGTGACACTAGAAATTAAAATACTTTTTTTGTGTGTGTGTTTATTGTTCCACTTTAAAGACTATTTTTGATATTTTAACAGAATATTCTACCTCAAGTAAAAGATATGAAAGTGGCCTGTTTTGAATTTATAGGATTGATCAGTCAGTATTACATCAAGAATGCAGTGTGCTGATATCTTCAATGATTATACACTTAAAAGCTGCATTTCGGATTGAAACGGACATCTTTTACATGTGTAAACGTCTCTAGTGTATTTCTGTACTGAAAGTAAATGTAAAATTGTCTTGCTTTTTTATAATTTTTTGTTGAGGTTGAACTTTGAACACTAAGGTTTTACCACTTTTAGTAGTCTCTTTTGAGGCTAACCAATGTAATCTTATTTTCCTTTTGGTCTGCTCTGTGCATGGTGTTTACACACAAGGCTGAATGCGGTTGGGTATTTTGTCTGTGACAAAAGGATTTTGCTAAGAACTGAACTAGTGATGAATAAACAAATTGTCAAGAATTTGACAACTCTTTTGACAATTTTGTTGTTATGTATCTTCTTTTGCATGGTCCTGGTTGATATTAAGTTATGATAGCACCGTTATATAGAGTTACATTTTTTTGTATGTTTTTTTTTTTTTTCGTTCGTGGACAATTTTGAATTAATGAAACAAATTGTTCTCGTTCATTTCTGTGCACCAATCATATATTTTGTTACAGAGGTTTTAAACTTCACTACTGTACTTAAATAGTTTCTGGAAACTTCTACTTGAGTATAAATGTTGACTTTACTAAATTTTAAAGAGAAAATTGATACTTCAATATATCTCTCCTTTGAATCTGTACTTTTTTGTGGGCATTAAATAAAGTTTTAGATTGGTACCCCCAACCCCTAAAACAAGGAAATGCTGGAAAGCAACAATTTGACCCAAATTAATACAGAAAAACACTTTTTAATAAATATTAAACAGCTTAATATGAAAAGTAAATAATTTGTGACAATAACAAATTTGACAAACCACCTGGTCCAAATTATTATTTAAAACCATGTACACAAAAAATAAAATACAAACAGGCAGAACCACAATAAACTATTGGTAAAATCAGGCACAAGTTTTTGCATTTAAAAATGTCAGAGGCAGGGTAATGGAAGGCAAACAAAAAACTTTTTTTTTTTTTTTTTAAAGTTAAACTTTACTTGTGTGCCATGTTTTTAAAACACTTTACATTGTGTATTTCACATACAACAAAGTACCAATGGTGTTACCTTGGGGTTCTGAACATGAACAAGAGAACCATGTAAATAAATATTATGGTACATCAATTCATGCTCTATGAACCATGGTATTACGATATCATCACGGCACTCTATGCTACCACAGTACTTTTTGTGAGGGGTATTAAAAATTCTTCTTTCATTATGTAGTTATATTTATATTAGTTTATATTTCTTTGTGTCAGAAATATAGTGATACCTATAGAGACATTATCATAAAGTAAATGATCATGAGATCATGAACTGATTTTATAGGATCATATCCTATATATGATCCTAATGGAAAGATTAGCTGGGTATTAGTAGGCCTACTACCAGTTTCTATAGTAATATATTTCTACTTCCACGTTGCATGGATAAAATACAAAAGTATAACATTTCAGCATCATTTATAAATAATGACAGTATTTGGAATTACAAGGAGGCCTATATGAGTGTATGAATACAGATTCATTAGGCACAAGATGCTAATTCACTATTAAAATAAAGTGATGTAGCATCATTATGAACAAACATGATCTAACAATGAACAAAAATATATTGTTTATATAGCTAACAGACACAAGCAACCCATTCAGCTATTAGATGTTTTTAAAACATACCTGTTCTTTTGATACTTCAGTAGTTTAGCCTAATATTAAAAGTATTTTTCTAATGAATTACTGTTTTTTAGTTTTTTTTTCATATAGGCCTGTTTGTTGTGAGCAGTGTTGGGCAGTAACTAGTTACTGTAATATTACTTTTTGCAGTAACTAGTAGTGTAACTAATTACTAATAAGATTTCAGTAATAATATTACAGTTACCATCCAAAAAACAGCTTATTTACTTAGTTACTTTTGATGCCTCAACCCCGCTGATTTAAAATCCTACAATCAAATAATTCCAAGATTTATTTTCATAATTTTCAGGACTCGCACATGCATGGGATGTCCCCAGTGCAGCAGGCAAGCTTGGAAATATGATTACAATTAGCTTCAAGCTACACATGACAATTCATGAGATTAATACAACACCTACTTGAATGTCACTATCAATTACAATTGAGTGTTTGTAATAACTTCTGTGGGGCGTGAAGAAAAAGTAATGTAACTAGAAGTGCAACTAATTACTATTGCCAGAAAGTAATAAGTAAAGTAACAATATTACTTTTGAAAGGAGTAACTAGTAATGAGTAATATATTATATTCTTTGAGTAACTAGCTCAACACTGGTTGTGAGATGTAGCCTATATTTGTACAAATTCTTGTAGTAATTGCATATAGGCCTACTACTGCTACTAGCCTACTACTACTAATAAAAAAACTTAACGTTACTTGTGTAAAACACTTGTTGCCACCTATTGCCGTAACGCTGTATGCTGTGGAATATGTAAGTAGATATTTGGAGAAAAGTAGGTCGTTTGTCCATGTAATGTAAGTTAATGGTAACCAAATTAAAAGTGAGAGAGAGAGAGAGAGATCTTCTTTTGTGTTCTACAGCAGACAGGGAGTCATATCCCGTTATTCATAACTCTCCAGTACAGTAGGTGGCGGAATGGGATTCGTGTTCACTTTGCTTCCAGATTTGGAGACGCGCCTGAACAATGAGAGATGTCGCCTTATTCAGTCAATGAAGAAAGTAAAACACCATGACTTTTCTTTGTCAGGTTTATTGGGGAAATCAGCTAACAAGATAGATGATGATATTATTAGGTTTATAAAAGAATGTGAATTAACCCTTTAGTATTCCTGTAAAATTTGCCTAAAACGCCTAAAAAAGGCATACCCAAAGTAAATTGCATGCTGTTCTTGAACCATTTGGAGTACATAGGCTACATGGTTTTGATCTCTTTTGAAAGGTGACACTCTGAGGTGTGTTCCTCAACAGTCAGAATCACTGTAAGTCTTATTGGTATTGAGTAATAGAACTTTGAACACACTGAAAAATAAAATAAAAAATCCGCCTACATTTTTTTTTGTAAACAGATGCCTGCAGATGACTGTAGCTGGGAGCTATTAGCTGGAAAATACATTTGGATCACAGAATAAAGTCTTACCAAGCAAAATGTTTCAAATTTGATAACAATACCTTAGAAAATGAGTGTTTTACACGTTTATCTAAATTTATGTCTAGGCGCTTCCCAAAAAAAGCCACTTGGAGACTCCAAATGACCCTTTGTAACCAACGACACATAAAATGCTGTAATTCTTGAATGCTTTAAGTAAGAGAATATAGAATATAGATCATATGTGTGTATGTATGTATGTGTGTGTGTGTGTATATATATATATAT